GGTGTGTTCAGTTGCGTTTCTTGAGGCGTCGCAGTCTTCCAGGTGCCACTCGTGACACTAAAAGAGGGTCCCAAGGGGACGTGGCATCGTGTAAGTCCAACTGAAACCCATCCAGTACGTGCAGTCTCCTGGTCTGAACATTAAATGGATTTACCTGGAAAATTCAAACAACTGGGTTGAGTCTGCTTCTCAGACACAGTGATACTTCAGGACACAGCGTTATTTTAAGTATTTTAAGTTGAAATAAATCAAGCTAGTAGTTAAAACAACTTCTGAAGACAGCTCCCTCCCCACCTCTGGCTAACTGGCCATGACAAAAGCCCTTGCTGAAATATTCTACCATCTGCTGAGCATAAGGTCAGCGTTTTATCTCCCATTGGTTTCCACCTTTCACTGCGTAAGTGTTTTAAAATATTTTTTCTAAATAATACCAGAAACCTAAAATTCTGCTGGCCCTTTGGACACCATTTCTCCCATAGCTGAACGTGGCCATCGTTGTTCCAATTCATTATGCACATAGCAATCATCGTCTTGCAGGGCGCCAGCGAACTCTGTGAAGCTGTGGCCAGACGCAAAATGCAGAGCCGATGCCCTAATTGGGACTGCTCTTCCACTGAATCCTCCTCTCTGTCTTCTTCCTTCTTTTTGTTTGTTTGCACTTTGCAAATCTTTCTGAAGAAGTGATTTTGCTGGCGTAACACAGAGGCTGTGGTATGGTTCCTGTCAGTATGGAAATGGTGAGGGTGGGTGACTTCAACCTACTGAGCTGTCTAACTACAACTTAATTAATTCCAATCGCTTTTAAGACTCCACAGTTCTTTTAGCTATAGCTAGTTTTATTTAATGTATTAGCAGCAATAGAATGATTCCCATTGTATATTATTTTAATTTTACTGAAAGCAAAATAAGCAGAAAAACAGCTAGCCAAACACTTCCTTTAAAATCGAAAGTACCAAGAACATGAGAGTGAAATGACTGCAAAAGAAAAGTGGAAGTGCAGTCGGTGTCCGTGGCAGTGATGATCAGGTAAACGAAGCACAGTGGAAGCACTACAAATAAACTAATAATTATAATTCTATTTTAAAATAATTTAAGTTTTCTGCATTTCTTGTCTTTGTTTTACAAACCGAAGACTAGTTTTCTAGCTTGCTTTCTGCTGTGGTTTAAGTTACAGGGGCAGCTGCATTCCAGAGTTTCTGAGATACTCAAAACCATCAGTGAGCTGGGGGAGCCCTGGAGGGTGGGGGCAGCTCCTTATTTATGAACGTAGGGGCAGTGGTTCAGGAGAAGCGGACTTTACTTCCCTGTGAGCCTTAGCTGCCGGTCCCAGTCCGTTAGGCCAAGTTCTGGGAAAGCCTTTGCCCAGCCCTGAAATCAGGCGGGTTCAGAGTCTGCACATGACTGCTTTTAGCCCTGTGCCAAGTGCTGTTTAGTCAAGGCAGGGAATTGAACACAGTATTTTTACATTAATAATATCCTTCTTCTAAACACACCGTATCAAAATGTGTATGTAACTAATAAGGTGCTAAGGCATACTACCTTTAACGGAATAACGTTGCTCAGTTTCATTATGTTTCTTAAGCAAGCCTTTTATTTTTTGTCAAGGAACACTGCATTTCATTTCACATGCTCTTAATGGTGTAGAGCTCTCTGGGGCTTGCTCTGGGCCTGCCAGAGGCCTCAATGGATGCAGGGGCAAACCTGTTCACAGAATACCGGTTTACAATTGCATTACTGTTAAAGTTTAAAAGGGGAGAGAATTTGCAGGTGAGATATTCATGAAGAGCAGCATTTTAAAGTGAAGGCCAAAGATCAGAAACTGCAGAGGAAGATACGCTCCTCTGTAAATCTCGGACAATCTTATTTTAAAATTGCTAAAAAGAAGTGGCTCATGGATGAAAGAGGGCACATCTACTGTAATGAAAGCAATAGATTCTGAACGTAAACAGTTCTAGATGGAGCGGCAAACCAAAATGCTTTTGTCCTTAGCTCAGTTGTCTAGGACAGAAATAACTAAGGACGTTTTTGCAGGGACCTCTTGCTCTGAGAGAAAGTACATGCATACAAAGGAAATACTCTGCTGCAAATCTTCATAGGAAAACAAGTAATTGACTGTGGCCTACTCCAAAACTGACAATCCGATCAGAACTATGTTTAAGACACACCTCTCCCTGGTCTTACAGACCCACCTTTTTGTACGACACAAAAGAACTGCAGACAATGGATGATGTATTTAAAATATTTATTTAAAACTACAAAATGTATTTCATGTCTGCCAGTGCCAGATGCAAAAGTAGGCATAAGCTTAAGTCCCAGTGCTCAAAACTGTGATTTTGCCAGGTATATTTTAATACAAGATTGTCACATGGTGCTGGAAGCTTTAAAACATTGCTGAGAAGTATTGGATTGAAAGCCAGTGTGATCTGCTAAAGGCAGGAATCCCAAGTTCTTCCTGAGCAAAACCAGATTTTTTAGTTTAGTGCATCTTGAACAAACATTTTTAAAATATATTAGCAAGGCTGTTTGATGAGGAAACAATACGCTACAGGACTTTTTGCAATAAGCCTCAGTTGTGGTTTAGTTTTTGTTATGTTATACATAATGGAAATAGCAACTTTTATGTCCATCTTCAGTGCCACGTAGTTTATTCTGTGCTCCGATTTTCTAGATAAGGTTTCAGATGTCCCATAAAGACGCAACAGTACTGATGCTGGTGGGAATTCACTGGGGAATTGTTCTTGTAGAGCACAAATAAAAAACTTACATATTGTGTCAATGTCATATGTCAATAATCTGGGGTTTGTTTGTGAAATTTACTGTTTGAACTCCTGCCAGCTGCAGAACTGTGTTAATGGGAACATGATCCAGCCTGTTTTTATCAAGGTGCAAAAAATGAACTTCATTGCCTGGAATGGAATGAGAATAACATGTGAATAGTTGAATAAAATATTTATTTATTCAAAGATGTAAGTGAATCAAAGAAGCATTCTGATTTCCTGCTAGTTGTTGTACAAATGTGTACTAGGTCGATAGATTGCACAATATACTGTATTTTAAACAATGACAAAGTTTTTTTTTTTTCAATTAAGTTACAGAGCCAAGGAACATTGAGGCATCTAACTGAAATAAATCTGCTGTAGCATGACATTTCCTAATGATCTGATGAGATGACTTTGTCATGTTGCAGCCCCCCCTTCATGCATTATTCCTCTACTAAAACCGCATTAAATGGCTAGAATCAAATGTGAAAGCAGAATGTAGGTGAACACCACGATGTCAAAAAAAAAAAAAACCTTCCAACTTCGAGGCAGTTGTTCCATCAGCACTCCTATCAATTTCTGCAGGACTGTGACCAGCTTTGTGCCACCTCTGTGGGAGGTGGGACTACACAGTGACACTTCCACAGGTTCCTTCAGCCAGCAAAAACACACCGTTCAAGACAAGACTGTCTGCTTGGGATCCACAGGGACAGCAGCCGAGATGGCAGCGTTAAAGCAAACAGCTGAAGACGACTACTGTAACTTTCACAGAAAATAATGAACCTCACCTGGGCCTAAAATCAAAGCTCCTCCCTGCTGAGCGGGGTCTCCTTGAAAATCAAAAGCCGGGCCAGTCATTGCTCTCCACATACTCCTAATGCTCCCCAGGAGTGTGTTTGATTTCACATGAGGGCTCCGCACTAAACCAAATGGCAAAATACTTCTTATCTAGAGATACAATAGTACGTAAGGAGAACAACAAAATCGAACTGCTGCTATGAATAGTTTAGAGTTTCTGGATTACCAGTGTTTTGACAAAATAGAGCCTATACGAGACGGTCTGGTGAGCAACTCCCTTCCTATTTGCATTGTGATCATCCTGTTTTATCAGAGCGTTCTTGTTTTGTTCTGTTTAAGTCCAAACAAGGTGAGAAAATTATTCTTACCTGATGCGTTATTACCTTCACCTCTTTTCATGCCAAGCGTTTTATAAATTTCCCTTTGTGGATCTACATACATTTCATGTGTATACCCAGTTAAACTGCAAAAGGGCTGCAAAATATATACATACAAAAAAAAGTAGTATTTTTAAGGTTAAGACACTAATTAGGATCTACTGACAGCCACCCAACCCACTCCCCCCACCCCGATCTGGAAACCCATGGATTTGTCATGTTAAATTAAAGGCCAAAAATTTTTATCCCCAAAGCTTTTACTAGAATAAAGCTTCCAGTGAAATCAAGAAAAGCGATTTCCTTAGCAAGCCCCAGTGGTTTTTAAACTGAACGTTTTAGTTACTTGCTTCACTCATGCACTACTATTAGAATTGCTTCATGAAAAAGAGTATCGTCCTCTTTTTCTGTGGTTGCAAATGACCATCTTTTCACACAGAGCAACTCCCTCAATGCAGACCATTGCGACAGAATAGAGGATACAATGTATTTAACGGCAACTTTATTTACCTTGATGTGATGATAAGACGACTGTCCAATAACTATAAGCCTCACATTTGCTTCCTAGAACAGAACACAGGGATTGAAACTGTAAAGGGGAACTCTGTGTTTTCTCCATGGCTGCAAAGCATTAGCAGAATCTGGTGTCCTGAGTTAATGACCACAGTGCACTGAGTTAAAATTACTTGAAATTAACATCACTTACACGTGTGAAGCCTGCACCTTTGTCTAACACCCATGGTTAGCAGCTACATTAATTTATTAAGTAGAAAATTATTTGTAAGGATAACTTTTCAGTTACAGATGTGTAAACTTTAAGTTTTCTGTAGCATTAGTAGCGTCATCTTTCCAATTGATTGCAACCTGCTATGATTTGGGAAATTCAACATTTCCACTCAGTTGCACCTGCATCTAAAGAAGCAGCATGCAAACACTGGTGCACATACAAGTACATCTGTGATTAACATATATGGACGCTCATTTATAGATATAACCTGCATCCACACATAGTGCTGTCTTTTGCAGGTGCAACACTTGGGCTGAGTCTAAAATAGAGGCCAAAACCTCAGTTCATTTAGATGCCAGTAAAACAGTTAATAAAATAGAAGGTTGTTTTAATATTAGGGCATACTACTTGCCTTTCCCGTATAGAATCATTTTGCTTGTTAAGAAAAGAAGCCCTGCTAAAAACACAAGGCTCACACTAAGAAAAGCAAGGACGGTTTTGATTCTCTGTATATGTTTATTTGAGCAGCCAAATTAAGAAAATGTCATTCTAAGTAGCACTGATCAAGCAGTTTAGAAAAATCTGTCCTGAGAAGGCGAGCTGCCAAAGAAATTGCCCCTTTTCATCCCCAAGCTCCTAGTCCATCTGAGGCTTGCTGTCAGCAAGGAGCTGAGTCTCTGTCATCAGGTATGCTGCTGCTAGGAATAAAATATGACAAAATTTCAATGAGCAGCCTAGAACAGACAGATTGACCTTCCACATTTAGCTGGGGATCATCATCTTTCTCTGGTATCTCCTACCATCCCACAAACACCTACCCATAGCAACCCCTGCCCACTCTATTTCCCCTTTCTGTCACTATGTCACTCCTGTTTGTGCAGCTGCCTGGAGAACAGGTCACACAACTGATGCAGCTTACAAATAACCATAGAAATAGAGATTATTTTTAATCCAGATAAATTTTCTGATCTTGTTCCATGCACAACCGTCAGCCAGCTGTACCAGCATAACAGAAAAGGCAGTAGTCAGTGGTCAGGAGAAGACAGCTACCCAGGGCACTACTGAAGACCAAAAGAAATGCGTGTCAGATGTTGTCTAACTGTACAGAGCACAGCAGAAAAAAAACCAGCAGCCAGCTAACAGGGCAGGGAGAAATCATGCTGCTGCAAAAGAGCATGTAGGGCAATGAATCCTTTCCTGTGTCTCCTAGGCAGGTACATTATGGCTAGCACAACTAACAATGAAAGCACTAACTTTTTTCTAAGCATTTTTTTTTCATTCCTAGAAAGTTTAAGCCTCATGCAAGCCTGCAGCGGGACATAATCTGCTCGACTGAAGCAATGCCATGGACATATGAAGAGCAGAGTACTTACTTGCAAAAACGTCTTGGGGACTTTTGCCAGGTCTTCTACATACTCCTTACAGGTGTAACATAAAAAATTCTGCAACATAGCCAGTTGGACTTATCAGAAACAGACCTAATGGCACAGCAATGCAGCATCTTATTCTGACTTTGGGCACAAACCATTTTAGAGGTGATCAGGAACTGGGAACAGGGAAAATTAAAGTTCTTTGGAGTGACCAAATTTGGATTAGGATCCCGGTTTAATCCAAGCCTGGACAAGGACACTGGGCTTGGGGCCTTTCTAATATTTTTATCTCCGGATATTTTAGGAATGTGAGCACTAGCTTGCCAGCCGAGAAATCAGGGAACCACAACACTTGTCTCCCTAAACACACGGTTGAAAAATTATTTCCTTCCAGGTAAATACTGTATCATTTCACGAAAGAACGGGGATTCTTAGCAGCAGAACTGATCTGCTTCGTATTTCCTTTCCTCTCTGCTCCAGCCTAGCTTGTGTGAACTCCCCGCTCCCCCGCCTCCTCCGCAGCCAGGCTG